TGGCTATATGTCTGGCCACACACTTTACATTTAGTCTTGTTGACATCTGCTTGAGGAACATACTGCCAGAGGTACTTATATCCTAACCTTAATCTAGCGGTTACAACATCTTGTAATCTAGTGACCTTGTTACTTGCTCCATATACACTTGATACATATCATCATGGTAAACTATGGATCGACTAGTGCCTGTTTGCACTTGTCTACTTGCATCAAATTCATCAATAAGTTCTCTCCTAATTACAGTTTTAAGGTTTCTTTTTGACAGATCCAAATTGTATTCAACGGTGTCTTTGTTAGACGCGAGTTTGGTGAGGGCATCAACTCTGTCATGTTTTATGAGGCCTTTGTGAGAGATTTTAGATTAGATTGCCCCCGAGGGGGTTAGTTTATTGGGCACCCCTTTACATCCTGTGCAAGGTGAAGCGCAGAAGCGTTTACAGCTCCCATCTGGGAAGCATGCAGAGTTCATGCTTGCCTTTATGACTCATGCATTAAGGGCGTAAAAGCCTGAAGGGTCATGGGTTTTGTCAGCTAGTTACATAAAGTGAGAGAATGATGAGTGTGTGGGGGGAAAATTCCCGGTACAATTTTTCTGTTTATGGCAAAGCGTGGCAGGTCCCTAATAATGTCAAGTGCCAGGCCATAGGCATTGACAATATTGAGGGACATAGCTTTTAGTGTGATTGTGATGGCGTGTACGTCGGTAGTGTCGGCTTCAAGGGGGAGAGGGGATCCACAACAGTTTGACCTTGATACCCCGGTCAACAAGGTACGCATATTTGTGTCTGGCTTCAGAGACAAGCGCATGACAAGTTGAGTTGAGGGTGCCAAGGGCAAGTAGTGAGGATAGAGAGTCAGTGATGATGAGACTGTCAGTAACAGTGGTTTCAATGAATTTAATAGCTGTGAGTATGGCAACTAATTCAGTTTGTAGAGTGGATGCCCAGTTGTTAATTCTAACTCCTTTCTCAATTATATTACCGTCAGGTTGAGTCACAACAATAGCACTTCCAACCCTCCCACAGGCGGTGTCAAGAGATCCATCAGTGTAGATGGTCTGTGTGATATTATCATCAGTCTGTAGAGTGTGTATGTGTTCAAGAGCTCTCACTTTGGCATTGTGTTGGAGTTAAATACTTTGTATAATGAATTTTTTAGGCGGATATGTCGGTATTGTGATATCGAAGGGAACTGTCCGCCAGGGTGGCAGGAAGCACTGTTGTGTCTCAACTTTGTACAGATGGTCTAGTCCAAACATCTTCACATGTGTAGCTGTAGTTTGGATCCATTTAGACTCACCAGTCCCATGGTTCATACATTCTAGCAATTTTAAGGAAACAATGTTATCAGGATCACCACGCAGAAGCCTCAGGGCTATCATGAGGTTGACTTCAATTATTCTATCTTTAACACTGGGTATACCTAGTTCATTCCTCATATTAAGTACTTTATTGCTCATAGGACATCCTAGGATAATTCTGAGGGCTTTATTTTGCATTTTCTTGAGTTTGTCAACGCCTTTCCTGTCACGAAGGGCCAGGGCTGGTGCGTGGTAATCTATCAGAGATCTTATATAGCCTAGGTACATTGTTTTAACAATTCTAATATTAGCACCATAGTGCGGGCTGTACCCCGCTACACTTCTAAGAGGTCTCAGTCTGTCAGTACATTGGTGGGTTAGTTGTTGTCTAGGTACAAGGGACGGAGACATCAAGATATTTAAAAGAAGAAACATAGTCAATAGTGTTGTTACCTATCTTGAACTTGGCAAGGCCGCGTTTGCGGTTACCAGCTTGTTTGTTGACACCTTAGTTTTCTCAGTGGAGATAACAAGACCGAGGTTCTCACAGGCTGCGTATACATGATTCAGGGTGGTTTGCATTTCACGATGAGTTTTAGTATAAGAATATCATCAGCATAGCTGATTGTGATATTGCTGGGTTTGTCTGGTATTAAATTTAATAATGCATTCATAAGAACATTGAACTAATTGGGGCTAAGTACTCCACCTTGAGGGGTACCAAGTTGCATATCTTTAACTTCACTTTTGTAACCCTGAAACAGTGCAGCAGCACCGCACAGAAGACGAAGGTGTTCTCTTCAAACCACACCACCTTCCCCTGCTACACCTCCTCCTTCCCCTGATACTACACTTCCTTTCCCTGATACTACACCTCCTTCCCCTGATACTACACCTCCTTCCCCTGATACTACACTTCCTTTCCCTGATACTACACATCTTTTCCCTGATACTACACTTCCTTCCTCTGCTACTATATCTTCCGCGTGTTATTACACCCCTTTCCCTGCAACACCTCCTTCAGCTAACCCCTCTCCCTTCTGGCCTGTATCCTCGGGTCGGCCACCTGCTTGACCATCTGTAACGCTACACGCTTGTAGTCTATGTTGTGTCTCACGCTCACTCCTAGGTAGCCTTTTGCATTACGTCTGTCCCGGTGCTGACTAGTTTTGTCCAAGTGGTGACTTTTATTGTCCAGGTGGTGACTATTATTGTCCAGGTGCTGACTAGTTTTGTCCAAGTGGTGACTTTTATTGTCCAGGTGCTGACTCTTCAGTTTTGCCTTGGTGCTGACTCTAAGTTTTGTCCAGTTCCGGACCTTTGTTCAGGTACTGATTCTTTAGTTTTTTCGATAGGTAAGTTTTATTTTTGTCCAAGTGTTGACTCAGTTTTGTCCAAGAATTGACTCTTTAGTATTTTCCAGGGTTTATATTTTTAAATAAGTGGAACGAGTCGGGAAGAGAATATGGTGAGCTTTTTTGTGTCGGGAAATTAAAAATGTTAAGATGTGTGTTCAAAGTGGGTCTCTGACGGCCAGTGCGAATACTGTACACTAATCCTTTTGGTACTCAATGAAGTGTTGTGGTCATCTATTGCACTCAATCGCTTCACTTCCCTGACTGTCAAGTTAGTTCTCCTTTCACAGTTGGTTGGACGTGAAGAAAGACAACAGGCACTGTATCCACTCGGCCGTCGCACCTCCCTCAGGCTGTGTTGATAGTGTGTAAATATAGCCCCATGGTGCTGTCATATTAATCAATGTTATGTCAACACTCGCCTAAACCTTACCATTGGAGGCGTAATAAATAGCCAACTGGTTATGTAATTCATTTGCCATTTGCTTGAAGACGGATTAGAGATACATGTAGTGTAAGAACTAGTGCTGATAATATCTACAGGTCTTCTTGGTGTTTGTGTTTCTTGGAGCTCTAGGAAGTGAGGTTTGGGAGTGTAGCATGATTAGAAGGCTTCACAGAAACCTTATCAACTATAAGGTGCTATAATCTGGAACACTCACGCGAAACAGATACATATGAACTATATATATGTTGTCTTACTATAAAACTGAAGTAAACACATTTTGTTGAACAGACCCGTTATAGCGGCCTTAGAGAAACATTCTTCGAAAATAATATCATAGTACTGGTCACATAGGACAATTGTCGAGTCACTTCCTCTTGTGTGGGGAGGAATAGTGTTGCTAGAGTGCAGGAACCTTAAGGTACGAGGAAGATTATGAGTGCGGGTTCTATCTATAATGTGGCCCCTCCTGGTGGTCCTTAAGACCACGGAGGCGTGAATTAGCGTGGGGCGAATCTGTATATGACATCCGGGTGTAGATATTGTCGTCAACACAAAAACCTACACCCTGAGCCAACGAGCTCAATTACAAGGAATAACCCATGACAACCGGACAACTCGCCAACTGCACTGGCTAACCAGTACTCTCGAAAATGATCTGTCAATCGATTAACCTCCAAGTTTCCAATAACTGCTGGGTTGGTAGGGGTAAATGGCGCAAGAAAATAAATACATACCCGTTCTCTCACCCTACCTGAGGATCGAACTCGGGACTATTCACCTACAAGGCAAGTTTGGTGGCCGCTGCAGCACAAATCGCCACTACCACAGAGATGGCGATAGACTAGTGATTCAGTATGATTACTGGGCTGTTGTGGATAGGGTCATATAGGACAGGAAAATTTGAAACTTTGGTTTAGGTAATGTGGAGTGCGTGGGTTAACGTGAGTTGGATTGTGTGGGTTAAAAAAAATTGAATGAGGGCTGGATGGACGTGGTTACTGTTGGTCACTGTTTATGGTTCATTCTGTGTTGTTGTGTTAAAAGCGTTTTTTGGGGTTCTTATGAAATTGTAGAGGTGTTGGCTCTTAAGAAACACATTTATGGGACCACCGTATAGGTCAGCATTAAAGGGAACAGTCGTATCACCTCTATTAGTGTACTCATTCCTGGGTTGAGTCGACTGTTGTAAAATTTGAATAGATTAATTGAGGAACAAACTCATAATAAATTAACAATAAAGATTTCCTCTGCCATGTACGGTGGAATAGAGCAAGTACTGCTTACCGCAGGCCAATGTTAGGCATTGTCGTCTGTATAAGAAGTCATAATCGTAAATGTACCGAGTCATACCTTGTTTGTGTAAGGATGATACATGAGTGGGCTTTTTTTTTTTGACTGTACTAATAGTGAATTTGCCCCCCAAAATAATGAGTCCCGAAAACAGCAGAAACTTGTTTTTTGTTGGGACAGGTAACACGCTTTGATCATAATTTTATGACCTTAAATTCCGTAGTTGTTCGCTAACCCAGCTAATCCAAGCTTCAGCTTCTGGCTTAACCTTATTTTTAAATTATTATATCCATCTTTTTATTAGTGGCAAGGTGAATTGTTATGGGTTTTAAGGTTCTAAGTTCGAGTAGCTTTTAGCATATATATATATATATATATATATATATATATATATATATATATATATATATATATATATATATATATATATATATATATATACGAAGGTCAAGGAATGGCATTTTGCAATCTGAATTGACAGTTGTAAAACTTGAACTGGTATATACTGTATAGCATTCAATCGGACACTCAACACCTGTCAGTCACTTTTGTATAAATCGATGCCACTCTCATTTGTCAATCACAAATTTTCTCTCTACTTCAGGATGACGACACAAGTGGGCAGGCTCTGTATGGCAACGTGGGCATGGTCGGCGCCCATGTTCCCACCGTGTCTCATGCTGGCGTTGAGGACTATTACGCTGTCAACGCTCCCGCCCCAGGCACCGTAGGAGTAGCGTCAGCCCTCATCAATCACGCCTACACTAGTGGCGGAGGCCAGGACATGCCGGTGCCCACTGGCGGGCAGGACTTTAGCGGGATTGTCATTCCTGGCGCCGTATATACAAGCAGCACTGGTCAGGTCCCCACGGGCGGGTTGGGTGGGAACATCAACTATACGCCACCCCCACCTCAGCCCGCTCACAGCTACACGCGCACCTCACATGTGGCGGTGCCCATGAGTGCACAGCCCCTTTACTCCAACACCGCCTCACAGCCCATCTATAACAATTCACCGCGGCCGCAACAACACGCTTTCAGCGGAGACCAGTCACCGCCCCCGCCCCTTCCCACACAGCCGCCGCCCGTACAGCACCAGGCTGCCCCCACCTACGCCAACATGAGCACCAACGGTGCTCCGTATCCTCCTTCGCAGACCCTCTACGCCAACGAGGACGCCGGTTCCGGTAAGTACTAACTCTCTTGGCGTACAGCTTTACCTTATGGTGGGCAAAGTTGCTTGTGTAGTTGGCTCCACTCCTGTCTTTACCACTTCGCATTGCCCCCCCCTCTCTCTCTCTCTCTCTCTCTCTCTCTCTCTCTCTGTACACACACAACAGGAACACACTACTACTAACGGTACTACTTTGCTATCACTCGGAATCGAGTATGACGATTATCCAGCAATGATATGAGTTATTAAAGATGTTACCTTCGTTGGTGAGCTCCGAGGTGACTCGAGAGGCCGATACGGGACCGGCAGGGCCGTCCACAGATATTGCACGTGTGGAGGGCTACATCTAGTGCAGGAGGGGCGGCGGCAGCGTCTTACCACACTGGAGCTAGTCTGCCTCGGTATGCGGTCAGGCTAACTATTGACACCGTCTCGTGTGGTGCTCCTCCAAGCGTTACGGTGTGCAGCACCCACCTAGCACTGTTGCATAGCATCTGCCTAGCAATGTTGCACAACACCCGCCTAACAATGTTGCACAACACCCACCTAACACTGTCGCACAGCATCTGCCTAGCAGTGTTGCACAACATCCACCTAGCCCTGTTGCACAACACCCACCAAGCGCTGTTGCACAACACCTACCTAGCACTGTTGCACAGTACTCACCTAGCACTAATGCACTGTACTCACCTAGTACTTGCAACAACACAGACACCACTTCTCATTACTGCACAGGACAGCACTCACCTGTGGCTATCGGTGTTCATGTCTGAAAGCATGTGTACTGTACTATGTACTGCAGCCTGTTCCTGCTTTGGGCAGGAAGTACAGTACAGTGTAGACGCCTTCTGGATGACGGCGACGACAACGTTGATGATAATGATTAATGGTAATAAAAAATGGCATACTTTATTTTGATATTAAAATTTTTTATTTCGTAAGCCAGTTGTGTTCGTGTAACAACTTTTGAACTTGACTCGCATACAAACATATACATTTATATATGAAACAAATACGGTTTGTGCACAAATATTGCCAGGTTCATTTCAGCACATCATAAACATTGACTTATATATGTTATGGATATAATAAAGAACTAATGCCACTCAACATGTGTATTTTGTATTCATACATTGTTTTTAACAGGGGTGCTTGCCTTTGTGCCTTTGCTGTAACGTTCTGCAAGAGTCCGATGTTCAATATTGCTTTTGTAGAAGTTAATATGTAACAAAAAGTCAAAATAGGAATTAAATTTTTTTTTATCTTGCAGATCAATATTTTTGCAAAAGACAAGGTTTTGGCTCCCTGACTACTAAGGTAACAAACCTGAACCAGTTAGTGCTGTACTACCTGAGTACAGTATTGTATATTTAGTCGTTAACGAAATGTTGCTGTTGTATTTCGTCGATAAATAGTGGGGAGTCAAGTGTATAGGGAGAATTATATTGTGACTTTCTTCATTTTAAAGTCGGGTTTAATTTTTTTCCAAGTTAGATACTTATTCAGTAAGTTGATCATACAAGCTCACATTGGTTCAGCATCATACTTGGACCTTATACATTTCAAACTAGTGGAAAATTGAACGTTGATTCATCCAAGGAGTCTTGAGAATGGCAAACTTTTAGCCTAAGTATACTTTAGAAGACAAGTTACAAAATTATTGCACGACTTTCGGTATAATAGAAGCTCCTGGCAATCGTCCTTTGCCAAGTTTTGTTTCCGCGCTCTATTATAGTATAAATTAATGTGGCGAGTCAAAACTTTGGTAGTGGCTAGTTGATAGCGGTGGTGATAGAAGAGCGTAGTCCTCCCAATATTGCGGCCAGCGAGCGATCACGTGTGTCTGAGTAATAAGAGAAAACGTGTTGGTACCAGTGGGTGTTGGCAGGGAAACAAAAGTAGACTCGGAACATCATCCAAGTTTGTATTAGGATATTTATTATATCATCATTCATCAGTTTACCAGCCGTTCGAACGGTTGGGCTTAAGCTAGGGTCGCGTATTTATTAAAAATTGCCAGCGAAAATATAAAGCATCTTAAGCTTGAATGCAGTGATTCGCTCAATTTTGTACTGCAAATACATCTGTAGAGATAGTTTTGAGGAAGACGGTGCAGCCTTCAAGTATTCAGATAACACTGAAGTACCGTACACGGATTTCAACACTTGATAATACTGAAAATTGCACGAACCTTGGATGTATTAATAATGAAATAATAATAATAATAATAATAATAATAATAATAATAATAATAATAATTAACGGTTTATTGAAAGAGCTTGGCAGCCAGAAGGCTGAAAATATACAGTTACATATTTGGGGAATGTGGAAATGATACAGTAACTAGGTAGCTTGGGAGGGGCCAATGTTTACCCTGGTTACCTTTTGGGCTAAGTTTAGCATCGATTTGAGCCTAATATTTGCCCTAGAGTTTTTCTTGTGTGTGTTTCCCTAACTTTGACTCATATTAGATAGGGTTTGCAACCGATTAATGGAACTTATTATTTTTTGCGGAAATAAAATAAATGATATCAAACAGGCGACCTTCATATATATATATATATATATATATATATATATATATATATATATATATATATATATATATATATATATATATATATATATATATATACAGTATATATAAAACCTCACTAGTCAGGAATAGTCCAGACTAGTGAGGTATAGCCAGAGGGTGACTGATGAACAAGGACCATTAGGACCAGGACAGCACTTAAATACTCACAACGAAATTATGTTAGAGACTGGGGGAAAAGTTATAGGACATAGGAGGAACGAAGCTAAAAGTTAGTGGATGACAAATTAAATATTAAACAAAATATATCGCTGGAGAAATATATGAAAACGAAGTGAGGCCTCGGTTATAAATAGGGATATGAGGCAGGTAATGGGCAGTAAATAAGAGTTGTGTTTGTGGGATGTCGCCTGTCAGCTCGTTCCGGTGCTCTTACTCCCTCACAAACTATATTCCTTTTATATATTCTGTAATGCACAGATCGTAGCTGTACTTATATATGGTAAGAAATGTATCCACTGTTTATGAAAAGGAAAAAACAAATATCGGACAAGGCAGAGACTGAATAGGTTAATAAAAGCAGTGGTTGGATAACATCAGGTCACAATAAAATGTATTTAATTTTATTATGAACTCTAACTGAAGTCTACTGTAAACGTTGTGAGGACCACGTGTGGGTAATGAGTGTCGTTGACGAGGTCAACCTTGGCGTTAGGTGTACAAGTCCAGTGTTTGTTGCCAGTACCAGTCTGTTTTCGGTGTTAACAGATATATAGGAATGACCTCAATGACAAAAATAAATGAGCACAAGCATTTCACTAAATTATTTTGTTGTGGGACCTCCATACGACCTCTCCATGTTTTTAGTGGCAGAGGAAGAGGAGGCAGGCTTGTTGTGTAGGTGTTTGTGGTGTAGGAGTGGCGGCCTTGGCTATATGCTACTTCACACGTGGCATCTAGTGCCACCAAAACTAGGTGCCTCTTGCTACCATTAATTAGTGCGTTTAAGGTGTGAGGAATTTAGCAAGACCCCGTGTTAGTGTATCGTGAGCGTGTTGCTGGCAAGGGAGATGAAGCAACCCTGAAGAGATAACGTGAAATGTGAGAGCAGGTGTGTGGTGTGACCTTGTCTACGCCTACCACTCCCTCGTCCCCGCGCCGCCTTGGCCCTTTACGGCAGACCTCCACCTTCCTGCACTCTGTACCCGGCCCTTACACTAACCCGACTACCATATCGAGGCATCTGACCCACCTAACTCACCTACATACCAAATCAAGTGATCTTGCATACGATCCTTTTATCAGCATCTTGAACAACTTGGTCATTATCCTACACCCTCGCCTTCAGTATAGTGGTGGAAGCTGAGGCAATTGCTCTTTGTTGTTGCCCTGCAGCTTATGTTATGTTCTGAGTTCCATAACCATCAAGCACGATGATTGTGTCAAGAAATCCGTAGTGATGCCTAACATAATATAAAAACAGCTGATAAAGTTCATCATAGGTTGCCCCTTTTGGCCACGATAACTGCATGGAGTAGATGACCATCGTCAGTATCATGAGCTGTAACTAGTGCTTTTAGAAGTGTTCCAAGTTCGCTTTTTGTTGTCTTCCACATAATGCTATTATTGAACAAAGCAGGTGGTTACTGGGCTAAGACATAAGCAAGGAACTCTTCCTTTTAGGACGCGTGATTCTCATGAAGAGCAAGTCAGGGTTAATGTCGGCATCTTGTCCTCGCACTACAGTTGTATTCTTGGATGCCACAATTGTTAGGATTATTTTCTTCGTTTCAGCTTCAGGTTTGGAAAGAAGACACCCTTGATTGCTTGTGCAGCATATACTCCTATTGTGTGAACCTGGTCACAGTTGACATAAGGATGCGCAACAATGCCTGTAGATACCGACACTAGATTACTTGAACCTCTAATGGAAGAGCGGGGAGTGCACCTCTAGCCAGTGACGGAAAGAGTCATAATATTGCTTATATCTAGGTATAGAGCTTGGGAGTAGGTCCTTGTGCTGCTCTGAACTTGTATTATAGATGCTAGTGAACCTCTCTAGAGTCTCACAGATGGGGATGCAACGTGGTAAGGCATGGACCCACTTTGATCCTGTACTGTCCGTTATCCTTCGACCACGTGTCAATTCCCCTGACGATTTTAACAGACGCATCAGATTCTGCTCAACCACTTGATCAGAAAAGTTCCCACCCCAGAAACGTTCAATGTGTCATAATGTTAAATATCTTTTCTTAGTAAAAAGTCTGTATTGATCTGGTGGGGGAGTTAGCGAAGAGGGGGAGGGATCATCTTACAGGTGCAGTAGGTGAAGTTCCCAGTCACCAGTCCTCTCAGTCCGGAGGAAAAGTCGCACAATTGAAACATGCTCCAGATAATTGATCCAAAGTTTACCTGTTCTGGTTTGGGCAGCTGTATTGTGCATTAAATATGAACTGATCTGTTTCACTTGCTGAACG